AGAGAGAGAGAGAGAGAGAGAGAGAGAGAGACCAAAGCTCAGTTGCTTTTGCCTCATCTTCTTCTAGTTTCTTCATAGAAATGATTGAAACAATCTTGTTATATTCACGTTCATTCTTATGCATATTCAAATCAAACCTTTTTTCATTAATTACCTTTAAAATCAAGCATGATTTATGATGACATTAAGATTGGAAAGGACTGGATGGGATGACCTGTTGGAGTAGGGACTAGGCTTGGGATTAGCCTGGTCTGATCACTGAATCTCCTGGTGGTCAAAAGGTGTCAAAAACTGGCTTGAGCCAGGTGGTCCAACCAGTTGCTCTGGTTGAACTAGCCAGTTCTTTACTGGTTTGGAGTGGTCTTGACAAGTTTTTGTATGTTTTATAGATTTTTTATTTATGATTTCCAGGCTGATCCGACAGGTGAATTGGCCTGTCAAATTGGTTTGGATCATTATTTTAAAATGCAGTCGCATCATTGCATAATATGCTATGCACCCTGAAGTGCATTGCATAGGGGCGCATATGTGCTTTGGTGGGATGTACCTGCATATGAGCCACATCCCATTGCATAGCGCATGGCGCATATGCGCCACATAGCTCATGGGAGAAAATAGAGCCCGTAAGCATGGGTATTTTTGTCATTTCCCCCTAAAAAGGGGGGAAAGGGTTTTAAGGGGGTATTAAATCTCCCCCCCCCCCCCCCCCCCCCTCCTCCTCTCAAACACAAAAAAAAGCCACAAATGTGGCCGTTTTTAGATAAGATGAAGAGGCAGAAAATAAAATCGACAAAAATGTTTTTTGAAAAAAATTGTTGATTTGATCTAGATATTGGTTGGGCTTCGATTTGGGATTAGCTTGGACGTTGTTTTGAAGGAGATTGATAATATTATGTTTTCTAAGGTCTAATGTCTTCTATAAAGTCAGTTTCAAGTTTCTATTTTCGATTTCTAATTTCTTCTATCAGGGGATTCAGAGTCTCCGACGACTGATAATGTTGGAGTTAATGAATAAATTAGATACCTACTATCTCATAAATCACCTCCATATTTTTTTTTCATGCATTAACCTATTTTTTGAGATTTTATGGAATTTTTTTATTTATTGATTGCATCAAGGTGATGTGCCCGCATCTGGACCACATCGAGGCGCATCGGTTCCTTGACTGCATCGGGACCGTATCCCGCATTTGAAACATTGATTTGGATCGAATCGGTGCCCTCCTTGATCAATAATTGGTCCAGTCCAAATAGCATTGATGCTTTTCTAAATCGTTTGTGCAAAGTAATTTGTAGTTTTGATATTTTATATTCTCTCTTACGAGACGTAAGAGGAAAATGTAAAAGCTTATCATAACAAAGCAATCCTACATATAGATATTCTTTGTAGCTGATTTTGTTTTTCGATGTACCTCTGTTCTGTATTTTTCCATGCACACATTTTTGTCTTTTAATAAATTATTTTTCAGAATACATTCGAGAGAATTTAGGTTTGACACCAATAGGCGATAAGATGAGAGAAAGTAGACTTAAATGAGCTGGCTATGTATTGTGTATACCCAGTACAATGCCTGTTAGGTAGTGCGAGTAAGTTCAAGTGGAAGACTTAAAAAAAGGCAATATGTAGGCCCAAAAGGACATGATTAGTTGTAGTGAGAAAAGATTTGGGGACTTATGGCCTCAGTGAGGGTATGACCCTTAATGGAGTAGAATGGCGAACCAGGGTTTGTGTAGCCGACCCCAATTAGTTGAGAAAAAGGCTTTGATGATGAATAAATTATTTTTCAGAAGGGTACTTTCTTCAACTTTCTGCCTTTTGCCCACCCTCTAATTTCTTTAATCAATGAACTAAATTGATTTCAGTTTAAACATCCCCACAAGAACAAAAAACACTGAAGCCACATCGGTTCATTGACTGCATCGGGACCGCATCGAGGCGCATCGGTTCCTTGACTGCATCGGGACCGTATTCTGCATTTGAAACATTGGTTTGGATCGAATCGGTGCCCTCCTTGATCACTAATTGGTCCAGTCCAAATAGCATTAATGCTTTTCTAAATCCTTTGTGCAAAGTAATATGTAGTTTTGATATTTTATATTCTCTCTTACTAGACGTAAGAGGAAAATGTAAAAGCTTATCATAACAAAGCAATCCTACATACAAATATTCTTTGTCCCTTTTTCGATGTACCTCTGTTTTGTATTTTTCCTTGCACACATTTTTGCCTTTCAATAAATTATTTTTCAGAATACATTCGAGAGAATTTAGGTTTGACCCCAATAGGCGATAAGATGAGAGAAAGTAGAATTACATGAGCTGGCTATGTGTTGTGCATACCCAGTACAATGCCTGCTAGGTGGTGCGAGTAAGTTCAAGTGGAAGACTTAAAAAAGGGCAAGATGTAGGCCCAAAAGGACATGATTAGTTGTAGTGAAAAAAGATTTGGGGACTTATGGCCTCACTGAGGTATGACCCTTAATGGAGTAGAATGACGGACCAGGGTTCGTGTAGCCGACCCCAATTAGTTGGAAAAAAGGCTTTGATGATGAATAAATTATTTTTCAGAAGGGTACTTTATTCAACTTTCTGCCTTTTGCCCACCCACTAGTTTCTTTAATCAATGAACTAAATTGGTTTAAACATCGCCACAAGAACAAAAAACACTGAAGACTTTGAACAATTTCTTACTTTATAACTGAGAGCCTCTGTGGTTTCGCAATGCTGTGGCATTTGAAAGTAGGAAAGTATATATAATCTGAGGGATTTATGTTATGTGGTACCCCAAAGGGCATCCACTCGATGTCCTTGATGGCAACAATGGAGATGTACTGTAGTGGGGCCAGTAAAATTGTAACAATCCTAAAATTAAAAAAAAAAAAAAAAAGGAGAAAAGATGCTTTTAAATAGGTGATGGTCTGTTTGAGTATGATGGTCCTTGGGGACCATCACTATTTTCAAAAACTTTTACTTCGTTTAACTTTTGCTTGCCTGTTTTGCTTGCTTGCTTTTGCTTCCTGCTTGCAGCTGGCAACGTCCTTTAGCGGACGTGGTTTTCGTACGTTAAAAGCAGACTTTTAACGCGACACCTCAGGTATGAGGTAGAGCGTAATAAAATAATATAATAATACGTTATAAGAATTTAAATAGGGGATGTGAGCACTCCCACCCTAAAACAAAATTTTGGGATCTA